CTGTTTGTCCCTCTCACACACATAGCTAAACTACTACACTCTCAATCATACTACATCAACTGATTTCACATGCACATGCTATTCTAGGCATATTCTCTCTCGAACACCTTCAAGATTTTTCACACTCCGGTTTATTTACTAAAGTGAGAATTTCAAGTAAGGCCAAAATACCCAAACTGAATCCCAAATTTTTCTAAACTGGCTATTTTGGCAAAAAAATTTAAATTCTCTTTTGAGAATTGTCACAAATTGTTCAAAGTGAGTTTTAAACGGAAGGCTAAAATAGCCAAATTGCAAAAAACCTCCAACTAAATTCAAAAGAAATTGTTATGGTGCCCGTGATTCATTAATTCACCATTAGGAAATAACGCAGACTTAAAGTGGCTCTGTCATATCGTTTCTTTTGTTTGTTTTAGAAATGTTATCTCCACCTAAGCCACCTCTCTCTATTAATATAATTTACTTTTTTTTTTTTTTTAAAGCTATGATCATTTTAGAAGTTATACATAAGGAAACGTAGGGACTACGTTAACTTGTGTATAACATGCAGGTAGACAAAAGTTGACACAGGGTAGAGCTTTAATCGGCTTTACTCACTTCACAGCGGCATCCATCACTTTCTTCGCAACATCAGTTTTATGTTGACTCCCGCAGGAACCTGAGAGCCAGCACAGTGCTGTAAACACTCAATTGAGGTCCTCAAGGGCATTAGTGTGATTTGAAGTGCTGTCGCAAAAAATTGCAAACAGGAAAAGCCAAGATGGCGGCGCTTGACCCCTCGGGACCAGAACAACATAAATGGAGGGAAGTAGCACCAGTCCCAAGGCCACTAAATGTTATAAGGGGATGGGAGAAGCTGTAGAAAGGCAGGGGGTAGACAATAATTATAGTGACAGTGTCTTTTGAAGTTACCATATGTTTTAAATACACTTAAAGGACCACTAATAGTGCCAGGAAAACATACTTGTTTTCTTGGCACTATAGTGCCTTGAGGGTGCCCCCACCCTCAGGGTCCCTCTCCCGCCAGGCTGGATGTAGAGGAAGGGGTTAAACACTTACCTTTCTCCAGCGCCGGACTCCCTCTTCGTCTGAATGCGCATGCGCGGCAAGAGCCGAGCACACATTCAGCCAGTCCATAGGAAAGCATTCTCAATGCTTTCCTATGGACGCTGGCGTCTTCTCACTGTGAAAATCACAGTGAGAAGCGCGGAAGCGCCTCTAGCGGCTGTCAATGAGACAGCCACTAGAGGCTGGATTAACCCATAGGTAAACATAGCAGTTTCTCTGAAACTGCTGTGTTTACAGCAGAAAGGGTTAATCCTAGGTGGACCTGGCACCCAGACAACTTAATTGAGTTGAAGTGGTCTGGGTGCCTATAGTGGTCCTTTAAAGAGTATTGCGTGGGATAGATGCCTTTTTGCCAAAAGCAATAACTGCTCTCCTAACACACTCACACCTGACTTTTTACATGATTTTACTAACCTCCCTACTAACCTTATTTTATAAATACATTAAAACATGAAAATGGAAAACCTTTATGCATAAACTCCAAAGTATGGTTTTACCACCAATGATACAAATTATGACTGCCAATTGCTCATGTGATCCCGCGGACAACAAAAAATAGGAAATCCTTGGTTGACCATCTTCTCTGCTAAATCTTTGCTTTGCTGATTATTTACCTATTGTTTATTTTGATCGTTTAACTTGTTACCCTGAACAAAACATTTAATTTTATTTAAAAAAAAAAAAGCAAAAAACCTTGGCCAATCTCGAGACTTTAAACACTTCTTAATGTTTGCAGGTGCTCTACCTCCCCCTTTGTCCCACTGTTGTGTTTTGCAAGTTACTGCATAAGGTATTTAAATAAATGTGCACCTGTATTTTCATATGTGCAGTCATGGATTTCACGATTCCAGCTCCGGCAGCTAGTGACACTCTACCTAATAATAGCCACTATACAGGGAGCTACTGCGCACGGCTTGTTCCTTTCACCACCGCCCACTCATAGCATTGCTCTAAAATCACACTTTAAAGTCACCGCATCTGTCTTCGGGGCCTCTTCCATGTCTTCAATTAACACATTCCTCCTAGAGTTGACTGCATAGACAGACCATTTCAGAGGTCATTTGCCCAATCAAACCTTTCTAATCAGAACATGGTGACTGAACGTCCATGATCTCTTCCTAAAAAAAGATCTGTCTTCAAGTCAGGGACATGCACTCCATTCAGGAGAACTGTATTGCTTCTGATATCTATTCTTGTGAACACTGGGGAAAATCTTGTAATTCTCTATCAATCATTTACTATGACAGGCTGTGGCAAATGTATTGCATTACACCTACCCCCCCGTAATTGCTGTTTCCCGTGTTGCTACTGTTGAAGTCACAACAATGATTTCTCTAACAAGGTTATTAACTAAAACGAGAACTGTCAGCAGTTCTCCCAAAGTAGGCCAAAGTAGCTGTACTAGAAGCATAGCTGGCTGATCATTTTTTTTAATTTTAGCTACTTTAGCCTCAAATTTGAAATTCACTTTTTTTCTTCTCGACAATTCTCACTTTAGTGAATACTGCTGTAAACTAAAATTGTGTTTGTTATATAATACATATTTTTGACAATTTAAAGGTCTAGTATCTCGCTAGCTAAATCTGTCTCTTTCGTCCTTGTGACTACATTTTTTAGAGTCTCCATACATAATAAAAATCCACAGAAGGAAAATTGATTTAAAAAAAGCTATGGTTTTTCTACAGGGTTCACATCACTGTCTTAAAGTGGCATTTAACTTACCTTTCCCTAATCGCTTCATCTTCTCTTCCTCTCTAAGGATCTGTTCTTCATTTCTTCCTGTCTGCTCTAGTTTTCTTTAAAACATAAGACAAAGTAGGGACCTATTGTCCTTCCCCCGGCCAACACCCATGAGCACTGGGTGGGGGCCCTAAATGACCATGAGGGGGGAACCTATTGTCCTCTCTCCACCCATGAGCGGCAGGTGGGGACCTATTGCCCTCCCCCCTGGCCTCCACCCATGAGTGGCAGGTGGGGACCCTAAATGAAAATGGCGGGGGGACCGATTGCCCTCCCCCCCCCGGCCTCCACCCATGAGCGGCAGGTGGGGACCCTAAATGAAAATGGCGGGGGAACCTATTGTCCTCCCTCCACCCATGAGCGGCAGGTGGGGATCCTAAATGAAAATGGCGGGGGAACCTATTGTCCCCCCCTCGGCCCACACCCATGGGTGATGAGTGGGGGCTAAATGTAAAAATACCCCCCCAAGGTGACATGGGGTCCCCAATCCCTACCTACCCCCCTCACCCTAAAAATAGTGAGAGGGGAGACAATAAAACGAAATACCTGTAAGTAAATTAAAAAAATACTTACCATTTGATGCCTTCTTTTTTCTAAAACCTTCTTCTTTTTTTCAGCCCCAAAAAAGGCCAAATGAAAATCCACAATACCCGTCGAACTTTTAAAATAAAATTAAAAATATGCCCCCAAAAAAGCCCAGACGCAAAAAAAAAAATCCATCTTCACCCAGCGAGGGCACCGCGCATACTGAGCTCTGCAGGGCAGGGAAAGGCTTATAAAGCTTTCCTACGCCCTGCAATTTGACTTGGAGTGCTCTGATAGGAAACTATTGAGCCTTACAGGTAACCATTCAGGTAAATGGTGAGCCTTACCGGTAACCATGCCACGTTTAGGGGCATTCGGGAGATTTTAATCTCCCTTATGCTAACATGGGGGTCATATTGACCCCCAAACTGTAAGGGAGGACATGGGGGACTTAGAAAGTGGCGGGGCGCATTGCTCCCTGCCGCTTCTCTCTTTACATATTACAAGGAGGAAGCTGCGCGCCGGTAGCTCCCTCCTTGTAATCAACTAAACGAACACCGGTATTCGGTGTTTGTTTGTTCATTTGACATTGCTATTCATTAATTCGTCTTTCTGACAAATGAATAGATTAAATTTTCTTGGCGAATTGGCAAATGCCCCAGTGTTTAACTGGGCATGCACGGAAATTTCACAGCGCTATCGGGCAGATGACGTAGGGACTTTATCTATCTACCCATACAAAGATGGTGGTGCCCAGGACCTAGGTCCGGGCACAAAGTAAAGCATTTAAAAAAAAAAAAAATGGTAATATGCCTAGGGGCATTTGGGGGGAAGATGTAGTGGAGTTGGGAGGGGGGGTTAAAACACAAACAAACGGATGCGGCCATGACCGTGCCGCTCTTATTAGTGATAGGGGATTTTTAAAATGTATTTGAGTTTTTTTGCTATGATTTTCGCCTTATATTCTTTTCAGCTTATGTTGGGAAATTTGCTGGCCATACTATTTTTATACAAACACAAGTAGGTGTGGTAGTGGTTGGTGCTTTATTTTTTTTATATATGCAGGATTCAATTGTAGATGTATAGTAGATTTATTCCAAAGTATAATTAAAATTAACAGTAAAGAACACAATGACTAAAAAATAAAATAAAATATATATAAAACAGTCTCAATACTCTGTGTCCACTCTGCCAAGACGCGTTTCGCTCCGATTAGCTTCCTCAGTTGGCTGTGATGTGTATTCTGTTTGTTCCGTTTTTTTCTTCGTTCTAAAAGCACGTCCGCTGTCCAATCAACCAATCGGCTGACTGATTTACATATATATTTTTTAGTCATTGTGTTCTTTACTGTTAATTTTAATTATACTTTGGAATAAATCTACTATACATCTACAATTGGATCCTGCACTCTTTCCGGTTAAGGGAAGTGTCACCCCAAAAATTGACACCGAGCCTGCATACTTAGAGGCAGTAACTAGAAGGCTCTGAATAAAAAATTTTTGGGTGTATTTACAATACTGTAGCATTATTTTGTATATCTTCTGTCTTT